TTGTCAAAACCACTTGCAATCTGATTCATAGCTGAGCGCCTTGCCGCCGGTTACATATAATACATTTTTCATGACAGGCATTTATCCTCTTTAGAGAAAGAAATTTATTAAGCGCCCCCTCCCCCATCAATCACACACAAAAAAACAGTAAATAAAGAGAAAAATACATTATTCTTTAGTTTAATCCCTGCATTCAATTGATTGATGGTTTTTGTATGAATAGTAATTATTCTTCGAATTTAATTTTCATTCATTGATGCTTTTACACTTCTGTTTAATGTAGAAGATGTCAACCCAAGATCAGTTAGATCCAGATTGGTATGGTTATGAGTGCAAGTCAGGACAGGTTCTGTTCTTTTATAACAAGATCACAGGAGAACACAGATGGGCAGGAGAATATGGGGTAAGCTTGTGAGCTAGAAATCAGGGTTTGAATCATGAAAAGACTTCACTGATTTTCTGTTTGGCTGTAAGCTATGCTCCCAGGTCTAAAAGAATGCAGTGATCAAATCTTCTGCTGAAAAATTGTATGTAGTCTTTTGCAGTACTTTGTGACACTTTTTCACTCAGACACACACACTACTACATTTAACATTCTACTCACACCACGCCCAACTCACAAGTTGATTTTTATGGAGAGAGGAAACTGGAAAGCTTGGAAAAAACCCTCATAACATAAGAGAGAACAACACATCAAACCAATTCAGTTTATATGGTGTGGCAGAGCTCGAACTAGTGAGTTGAACTATTATAACTCCAGTGTTGAAAGGGGATACATATGGGGCTACCCAATAATAAATATGATAACCTTTTAAAATTTCTCCTGTGCAGCATATTGAAAGGTTATTGTAAAAATGCTTGCCTCAGGTAACCCAAGTGATACCAATCATGGTCTACTAGTCAAAAGGTCGCCCAATGAATAGGCATTTTGCATCAGTTGCTCAAAATGTTGTGTCAAAATGAACACCAGAAATAGAAAGAGCACCTCAATATAAGTGAGAAGTTACAACCTGTAAACAGGAGAAATGGCATAAATATACAAAATCGAATATTTTGTAAAAGTTTGGATGGGAAAATGTGCTGGATGGCAAAGCTTGCCATTCAGTATACTGTAATTTCCCATGCACATCCTTATAAAATATTCGATTTTATATTTAATATATTTCTCCTATAGGTAACATTATGAGCTAAGCTATATCTCTTTTCATTTCTGATGTTCATTTTGACACAACTTCTCTTTTAAGGGGGTATGGTCACGTGACCAACTTTTGCAAAAGGTCTTATTGATTGTGTTCTTGAATGTAAACGTAGTGTTTCATTATTTCCACCAGAATAACAACATCATCCCTATAAAATGTGAGCCTGTGGATGGGACCAGTGCAAGAGATGTTTCTACACAGACTGATCATGATGTCAACTGTGTGAATGGGTGTTTGTCAATGTATATTGATACCAGTCATGATCAAGAGACTGATCACTCAGATTCAAGAGAAGACATGGAGGTCAGTTGTCTAATTATATGTGTAGACATGTTTCTGAATTACTGTATGGTTAAAGACACCATAATATAAGGGGCGGATCAAGGGGTGTTCTGCAGTGTACTGGACAAATTAGTTAGTATATTAGTATTATCCCTCCAAATTGAGATGTTGAACAGAGAGACAATCCCCAGTTAGCTCAGTTGGTAAGAGTGTCTGTTGTGTGGGAGGTTGTGATGCAAGCCTTGGCTGGACCAACACTCAGGGTCTTATAATAACAGAGGAGAAGGTGCTGCGTTAGTAATTACATCTGCAAAATGGTTAGACTTTCAGGCAGCTAAGATGACCACCTTAATGTCAGTCCATCCCTAATTAATTAGAGACGTTAAAAGCGGACCACAAGTTTATCAGTCGTCAAGTAATGTCAAGTGTTATCCCCTATAAATAAAGTTAATTATTAATTTTTTCTTTTATGTTGGGCTTGTCTTTATACAGGACCCTTGTCCTGTTGACAATGCCTTCAACCAAGTCTGAGAGATTTTTCTCGAGTTAGGATCACCTTACACCTTATCTTGACATTCTCCCCCCCCCCCCCCCCATCTTTTTTTTTGTTTTTTTTTTTACTTTTATTATGAAGTTTTAGTCTTTCTTCTTAAAAAATTCTATCGCTACAAAATAAGGATTTAG